AAGTTATTAGCTATACTACTCGTGGTTTCTTAAGACCCTTTTTCCATTGTCGCGGCAGTCGCCCGGCTATTAGTTCAGTGGAAAAGGGATCTAAGCTACATTACGGCTAGACGGTAGTCTACTTGAGGCGCTGGGTGACGTTTGCCAGCGCGACAGCGAACGCTTGCAGCGCGGAGAATGGGTACTGGAAGTCCAAAGTGTACGCGTTGCCGTCGATGCGACCGAACTGCATCACCTATAGTAAATAAATGAATTAATGTTAAGTCGATGTTATTTTGAATTTTATTGATACTAGAGCTATAAATTAAGACAATATCTTGTTAATGTTACCTGTTTCCCGTGGTACTCGATCTGGAAGTTCTTGGCGGATTCTTGTGTGACGCGGCCGCCAAAGTCGAGTTGGTACACCTGACTGTTCTCATTCCACATGGGAGCCTTGTTGTGCATCAGCAGCTGCCGGCGCGCCTGACCGCCCGCACCGCTCCCCGCGCCCCCACTCCCTCCAACACCGGCCCCGCCCCCCGCACTCGACGGCACGCCCCCCGCACGCTTCAGCTGCGTAATTATCTTATATTTGCACACAAATAATAAACTAGCTGGCTGAGTTGTGGTAGGAGAATATGTATATCATTTTGAGGAATATTTTAGCATGTCTTGAATTAATTAATAAAATATCTCCCTTTTATATTTTGGTATACATTACATCGAGATGATGTATATGATTTTAGAATACACTGGGGCCCTGCAATAGTATAGAACATACTATTGCAGGGCCCCAGTACAATTTAATATAAAAATGTCTTGTTGATTCCTATACCTTGTTCCTGAGCTGTGCCTTCTGAAAGCTCTCGAGGTCTCTGTAGTTCTTGCCGTTGACCTCGCTGTAGCCGTTGGAGAACTCGTCGTCCGAGCTCTCCGACGGCTTCTTGTTGCGTCGCCGGTTCAGCAGCGGAGAGTTCAGCAGTTGTCTGCAGATGGAATACAAAAAGTTTTATAACAAACAGCAACAGTTTGGCATAATTACGCTAATAGAACAGTCTTTTAGAACTCTTCTTTCGGCTATACATTTACCGTATAGGCGAGGCCGAGGAGTACCGCGTGCGTCGGGTGCTGGCCGGAGAGGCGGGCGAGGCAGGTGAGGCGGCGGATGCGGT